GGGTCATCTTTGCCTCCCCAATTCTGGTTCATTCCAGCCAGGTGTGTGTTCAGGGGTGCTAAGTAAACACAGGAGGCACCCTGAGCCTTGGCCTGGTCTCCTGAGATGAGGACATGCACCCAACCTGTTGGAGGGAGACCCAGCAAACTCTTGAGTGAACACAAAGCCCCCTACCCTCCCCTGGTCTCAACCCTCTCTGGGGTTCAGTCTACTCAATTGAGGGTGCACCACCTCAAGAGAGCTGATTGTGTTCATCTTTTCCAACTCTGTATTCAGTGACACTTTTGCAGTGTAGATATTGTGTCTCAGTGGTGAGGAAAGTGACTAAGACAGATTTAGGTACCAGAGAAGTGGGGTCATTGCTGTGATGTACCTGACCAAGTTCAGAAGACTTTGAAGCTGGTTATCAGGAGGAGTTTGGATGCCAGCTGGAGAAGCAGCCATAGCATACTATAACCCAAGCTTGATGGGACATTCTGATCATAGCTCAGAAGACCAGTATGCTGGTAGGATAGCCAGTGAAGACCAGATTCAAGAGGTTTCACTTGGGAAGAAGGACTCTACTGGTGGTTGGATTCAGGCCATGTGTGTTACACACTGGGAGAAAACTTGTGTACATTTTACTCATGTCCTGAGACTTTGCAGGATACTGAGATTAAGGGAAGAGGACTAATAAATCTGGTGGAGGAAATTTCAAGGCAGCCCAATATTCAGGCTGTGGTATGGGTATTGTTGGGGCCTCTTGGACAGATTTATACTGAAAATCAAGAGCAAAGAGTACAGCTGAATTATTTAAAAAGTTTTAGTTTGACCAGAAGGGAAGCACCAGTACAGTTGGGCCCTACAAAGATGGAGTAGAAGAAAATTTGGTTGCTAAAAAGATTGGCATTAAAAGGAAGCCATATACTTTGTATTGGCAAATATAAAGGGTGCCTTGAGGGTGTGAAAAGAATCTGGAAGACTGCTCTTCTCAGACTCAAGAATGGAAAAGTGAAAGAATTTGCTTTGAGAATAGTCGTAGGGCACCTTGATCTAGAAAGGCCACCTAGAAAATTGGCTTCTTGGGATTCCTTTTGCAGTGCTCATCCATCCAGGCACTCAAAGGCTCCTTCAAGGAGGCCTGGCTTGAGGTGGTGACAGACCGTGGTGTCATCCACATTGTGCTGGTTTTTCAGGCATGTAGGGTACAAGAGTTGTGGAGTCAAGGAGGCTTCTACCTAGATTTCAGAAGAGAGGCTGGGAAGCCAGACAGTATGCCCCTGAGGGGCAAGATGTGAAGCTGTGAGAGTGGAGCCAAAGATACAGTGGAGACTTCAGAAAGTTGGAGAAGGCAGGAATGTGGATCGTCTGAGAAAAGCTGCATGGAGTGAGCAATGCCAGCCCAAGAGAGAAGCCATGAGGACTGCAACCACCAGCAATGCTGCAGGGGTGGGGCCACCCAAGATCTTTGGAGTTCACATCAAGCCACATCTTTCCCTGGGTGCTGGGCTTGGAGCTACAGGATTTAATGCTTGCCCTGCTGGGTTTTGGTTTTGCTTTGGTCCCATTGGTTTCTATTCTCTTTTCCTCCCCTTTGGAATGGGAATGTTTACCTTATGCCTTTGTAAGCCAGCATGTTTAATTTTCTTTTGATTTTTACAGTGGCTCACAGTTAAGAGTTTGCCTTAAATCTCAGAGGAGACTTTGGACTTGAAGTTTTTAGCAATCCTGAATCTGTTAAGAGTTTGTCAACTCTTAATGATGGGCTAGAACTAGTTTGTATAATGGGATGTGCATTATTATTTTGGGGACCAGGGCAGAATGTTATGGTTTAGATCTGATGTTCCTCCAAAGCTTCCTGTGCTCACAGGTGGAGCTTTGAGGAAGTGATTGGATTGTGGGGTGAGATGATCATCAGTAAATTAGTCTATGGATGAGTTTATGGCTAAATGTGATCTTGGGAGGTAGAGCCAGGGCAAAGAAGGCAGGTCACTGGTGGTATGGTCTATATGAGTCTATCTCCTGCCCCCTCACTTGGATCTCTCTGCCTCCTGGCCATCATGCCATGAGCAGCTATCCTCCTCCATGCACCTCTGCTGTGCTGTCTCGCCTTGGAGCCAGCTGTCTATGGACTGAAGTGTGAGCCAAAATAAACCTCTCCTTCCTTAAGCTGTGGATGTCAGGCATTGTGTCTCAGTGTTGAGAAAATGACTAATACACCATGGAGTTGGCAAATGCTACAATGGTGCAAACAAGGGTTCCCCCACTTCCCAGAGGAAATGGATCTTCTATTGACCACCTTTGAGGAGGCACTGCAGTGGGGAGATTACACCCTTATAGGCTCTAGAGCCAGACCACCTGGGTTCAAAGCCCAGCTCTATCACTTTCCGGCTGTGTGGACTTGCTGTAAGTTGATTACTCCTTTCACCAGGGATTCAGTGCAATTGCCCATGTATGTGCCTTCTCAGTAAGTGGTCTTGTATCTAACATTATAGATTAGTGTAGGAGGTGGACAACTCTGTTTCCTAAGGAAACTCTGTTTCCTAAGGAAAGGGTGATGGGAACAGACCTGCAGTGTTGAAGAGGAACCTCTGCAAGGGTGATGGGGAACCCCAGGTCTGGTGCCCTGCTGGGGTGTCTTGAGCACTGGCAGGCCTGGTCTGGACAAGCCAGCCTGGGCTGAGTGCTTATGGAGTCTGAGGGCCGAGCCACCATCCCCAGTTCTTCTGACAGGAGGCTGCAGTCAGCTCCAGAGCCTGGAAGAGACTTAGGAGGAGGCTGATCTAACCAGGGGTTCCCTCTGCTGCTTTCTTCTGCTAGAAGGGCTCCTAGAGGCTGCAGGAGGTTTGCTTAGTGTGGGGAGGGAGAATAAGAGCCCTGGTTTTCCAACCTGGTGGTCCCCAGCCCAGTTTCCCTGGCTCTGCTCCATTGGAGAGCTCATGTAGCCATGGGAGGCCTTGGGAATTGCTGAAAACACAGAACATTCTCTAGATCAGCCATATGTTAGGCCCTAATGCAAGTCTCAATAAATTTTTGGAATCATACAAAATATCTTCCCAATCACAAAAAATAAAGCAAAATCAATAGGAGAAGAATTTTGAGGAAATTCATAAAATCATGGAAATTAAAAACACTGATAAGCTGGGCACAATGGTGAATGCCTGTGATCCCAGCTACTTGGGAAGCAGAATCAGGAGGATTGCAAGTTTGAGATAAACTTACAGTCAAGAATAAAAACATAATATAATGCACATCTGTGCACCTGCCAGCCACTTTGATCAAATCTTTCCATTTTCACATTTGCTTCAGATTTTAAGAAATTAAATATTATAGACATAAGAAAATTCTTATGTCTTGTTCCCCAATCCCTGACCCCACATCTGACCCAGAGGAGCAGCTACCTTGGATTTAGTGTGTGTCTGCTCCTTCTATGTCTTCTCTGAGTACACATTTATGTATCATCAGTGTCACAAAACTGTTCTGCAAACAAAATTTGTTTTTAAGAGTGCAAAAAGTCATATGTTGAAGAACTGCTCCCTTTTATATTGGGCACACTTGACCACATATCAACGTTCCTGGGCCACTTTCGTATGGCAATGCACAAGTGGGTCAACTTATAGCATTCCTTACAGCTTTTGATCAGGCTAAAGAGTCACGTAGCTATTTTCATCAGACTTCCAAGGCACTGCAACAAGATTTCCAACTATCTCACACTCTGAGCAGCAAAGAAAAAAAGGCATCAAGAACATCCAGTGTTTATTCATTACAAGCATGGGAAGGAAGGAGGGGAGGAGGGACCAGCTCACTGAGCAGCTGGCCTTGGTGGAGCACAAACATGGAGTGTTTAGTGTTTGCCCTGTTGCTTCTCCTAAGGAGATGCTCGGCCTTTCTTGTCCCCCTTTGAGACTTGGTCACTTTCTGACACTTTGCCTCTCACTGTGGGGCACTTGACACCCATGGACCCCTGCAAGGCAGTTGCATAGGCCACCAAGCCCGGCTCCTCCTAAGGGCCCTGGCCCCTGCCAGCCCCTCAAGCCTGCCAGAAAGGACAGGTTGGCTCTCCTGCTGCTGTCTCCCCTCTCGGCTTTGCCCCCTTTCCTGATCACCTGTCTCTGCTCAGAGAGGTGTAGGAAGGGGCAGAGCTGCAGGGCTGTGAATGCAGGTTTATATCCCTCTGGGGCAGGAGGGGCTAGCATCCCCTTGAAGCCCTGATGCTCTATTTAAAGACTTCCTTTGTGTCTCCTCCCTGGCTTTGGAGGGTTGGGAGCAGAGAAAAAGTCACAGTACTGTTGCCAGCTGCCGCAGAATGACAACGCCTAACTCCTGGGACTCCCTCTGAGTGATCCTGAGGAGATGGCCTCCCTACCACCCTACAGCCTCCCTGTGGCCTTGGTGAGGCTCTTTAGATCCAAGGACATTTTCTACCTCTTTCTCCCCAGCTTTGGTTCCTGGCTCCCAGTTCTGGAGCAATAAAAATTCCTCCCCTCAACTTACTATACCCAACGGTGTTGGGTGCATTTGATCGTGGTGACTGTGGGGAATGGAATATCTCTCAGAACCACGAAGAAGGGTGAGGGTCTCGGTCCCTCCCCACATGCACGTGCTCCTGACATACTCAAAATACAAAGGATGATCAAAATATATAGTGAATGTTTACATAAACAGTTTATTATAGTAAAAGGCTCTTTGCCATTAATCCCTCCCAAATTATCCCCCTCACTTTTTTTTTTTTTGAGACAGGGTCTCACTTTGTAGTTCAGGCTGGCCTTGAACTCATAGTGATCCTCTTGCCTCAGACTCCCGAGTAATGGGATTACAGGCGTGGGCCACCATGCCCAGCTATGCCCCTAACTTTTATCACATTTATCCCATTGTTCTTGCCACTTTCTGCAGCAACCCTGGAAGTCTTCTTTCCAAGTTGTGATAAAAAAAATTTGGTTAATGCTGCTGCAGAGTGCCATCCACCAGAAAGGCAGGCTTGTAAAAGTATTACAGCATATCTCATCCACCTTATTCACCAGATCTGGCTCTGTGGAGCTTCTGGCTCTTTCTGAAAATCAAATGATCATGAAAGGTAAGCATTTTGAGTGGGTTCAGGACACTGAGGCAAGCCATGACAGTGCAACGAAAGACACTCAAGAAAGAGGACTTCCTAAGATGCTTCAGAAAAGTGGCAAGAAGGATGGGATAAGCATATTTGAAATATTTTGACAAGATTAATGATAATGTGTCTTTTTGATAATAAATTTTAAAAATTTACCTATCAACTGTATTTTTTGATCAACTTCATACACACTGTTAGTAAATTCTAAGTATGAATAAGAGAAAACTCCAAATGACAGTAGTTTAAGTAAAACAGACATTGATTTATCACTCATCCTAATAGTCTACACATGCAGTCTAGAGCTGGTACAACAGTTCTGTCTTCAGGGACCCAGGCTCCTTTGATCTTATCTCTCCGCCATTCTCAGGGCATGGTTTCCACTTCATGGTCCAAAGTGACTGCTTGTGCTCCAACCATCACGTTCACATTCCACCCAAAGGAAAGACAAGGGATGACAAAGAGCATGACTCCACCCTTTAAGGCAGATTTTGGCTGCATGCCTGCATCTAGCTGCGAGGGAAGCTGGGGAATGTAGTCTTGTTTGGGAGCCATGTGCCCAGGTAACAGCGCAGTGAGAAAGTCTGGGCAGCTCCCATGTGTGCTGACTGTCTCCCCTCCCCTCCTTCCTGGTCTGGCTGGCAGTGGGCCCTGGCCTGGGGGGCAACTGCACAGGCTGCGTCATCTGCTCAGAGGAGAACGGCTGCTCCACCTGCCAGCAGAGGCTCTTCCTGCTCATCCGCCGTGAGGGCATCCGCCAGTACGGCAAGTGCGTGCACGACTGTCCACTCGGCTTCTTCGGCATCCGCGGCCAGGAGGTCAACAGGTGCAAAAGTACGTGGTTCCCTCCTTGTCCCATTCTCTCCCCCCAGCACAGCCAGGGGAGCCAGGAAGACACCTGAGCCCAGACTTGACACCTGCTCAGCTCCAGACTGGCAGCCAGTCCCCTCTCTGCCTTCATCAGCACTGACAGGGCAAAGGGAACCATCACTTCTGGCTTGGTTTGTGGCCTTGCCTGTTACTCACCTGCTCTGGGCCTAGCTCAGAAAAGCGTTCTACCTCCTATTTGTGCTGTGACCTGGGACAGACCATCAATGTCTCTGAGCCTTGGTGGAAAAACAGCCAGGAAGGCCTCATTCCCAGCCCAGATTTGCTGTGTGATTTTAAGCAACTCATTTGCCCTTCCTGAGTACGGCTAAAATGAGAAAAGGCGATTTCCCACAAGCAGCCCATTTTTACCTTGGCCAAGTCTGGAGTTCAGAGAAGACTCTGCAGCTGGACCCCATGCTGCAGAGCATGTGGCTGCCCAGGGGCCACCTCAGCCAGACCCAGGTCGCCTCCTGGGCAGGGAGCCTCACCGGCCAGTGTCCTGGCTCTGTTGCAGAATGCGGGGCTACATGTGACAGCTGCTTCAGCCAGGACTTCTGCATCCGCTGCAAGAGACGATTCTTTCTGCACAAGGGGAAGTGTCTGCCCACCTGCCCACCAGGCACCTTGACCCACCAGAGCACCCGGGAGTGCCAGGGTGAGTGGGGACTCCTCCCCTGCCTGGAGGAGGGACTTGGTGACAGGTGTTAGGAGACAAGGACACATCACAGTAGGTTGTCATGTGGGGATGGGATGCCCAGGCCCACTGAGTCTTGTGCACTGGGGACCTACACAGAGTCATCCTCCAGTGTGCTGGAGCTGACCCAGCCACCGTGAAGGCGATAACTGTTGGTACCAACATTAGCACCGTCTGATTACCAAGGAGACAGAAGAAGAGCAATGACTTTGGAATAAAACATCTAGGATCAAGCTAAGTGTGTTGGTGCATGTCTGTCATGCCAGCACTCAGGGAGGCTGATGCAGGGAGATTGCAAGTTCAAGCCCAGCCTGGGCAACTTAGTGACTCACTGAGACCCTGTCTCAACATAAAAAACAAATAAATGCATAAAAAGTACTAGAGATGTAGCTCAGTGTGAAGGCCCTGGGCTCAATCCCCAGTATGGAAAAATCAATCTAGGATCAAATCCTGGCTCTAAAACTTATTCATTAGTGATTTCTGTGCCTTAGCTTCTCCAAATGTTAAAAAAATCATGAGAGAACATAGATCCTACCTCATGGGGAAGTGTTGTTACAGGATTAAAAGCATCTATGCAGTTTAAAATACTCTGTTCAGCAACTGGCAGTGTGTGTTAGCTGTCACTATCTGTCCACAGCTCCTTGCCAGGCCCTGTCTGTGAGTGCCCTGGCTGTGGTGGCCTTGTCAGTGCCCCAAGGTCTCCCTGGGCACATGGTCATGGTTATCCCACAGCTGAGGCTCCTGGCTCTGAAAGCCCCTTCCCCAGTGGTTCAAGCCAGTTCCTGCTCCACACCCAGCTCCAGAATCCCTGCCGTGGCCATGCCCAGACCCACGCAGCAGCTGGACCCTTCTCTCCCTCACCCTGTGTACAACCCAGTGTGGTCACTCATTCACTCGCGTGGTATCCACTAGACCATCTGCTCTGGCTATGGCCTCTTTCTTTTTGGAGAACTGGAGATTAAACCGAGGTCCTTTACACCCAACCCTTTGAACTCAGACCTTTTTGAATTTTTTGAATCAGAGCCTCAATAAGCCACAAATGGCCCAGGTTAGGATAGAGCTTGAGATCCTTCTGCCTCAGCCTCCCAGGTCCTGGGATTACAAGCCTCCACCATCATACCTGACTGGCCAAGTCCTAGCCTAGGTGCTGCAGACATGTTAGTGAGCAGAAGACAGAGCCTTTGTCCTCACAGTGACATTTCAGGGGGCAGATAGTAGACATGAGAATGAGTGCACAGTATGTCAGCTGGCAGAAAGAACTTGGGGCACAAAACTGAAGCAGCATGAAGCTTCCAAGCCCACCTCTACCCCATCTCCCCATCCAGGCCCATCACTGGGATTAAGGTCACAGCCTCCCGCCTGCCTCCCTGCCTCACCTCTCCCTCTCCAGCCCACTCTCCACCACACAGCCAGATTATTTCAAAATGACAGTCTGCTTGGGTGACTCTCCGCTAGAGGCCCTTTGTGGCTCCTGCCAGAGGAACAGGCCCTGGGCAATCTGCTCCCCTCTGCTGGCCTCCATACTCCATCTTCCTCTTCCTGTCTGAGCTCTGCTGCTGCTTGCCCAATCCAGGGGGGCATCCTGGGCCAAGTGGTCCTGGGGACTCCTTCTGCCCGTAGACCTCCTGCCCTTAGCCCACCCTCAGTTCAGGAGTCTCCCCCTCCAACAAGCCTTTCTGGTCCCCCACATTGTGTCCCCTGCCTCCTCTGGGTAACCCCAGCTGCCTGTGGTTCCATTACTTCACTGGCAGCCCCTGCCCCAGCCTGACATGTGGAGGCGGAGTCAGAAGGCAGGGCTGGCCCAACTGCTCTGCCTTTGCCGCTCTGCTCTCTGCGGGCTGCATGGCACCTTAAACTCTGTGTGTGTGTGTGAGCCCCTACTGTGCTCCCTTGGCAAATCCCATGTCTGCTTCAGGCCTCAGTGTGCTAATCTGTGAAAAGGGGCATTCACAGCCTCTGATTCCTGTGTCTACCTCTCAGGGACTCTTAGATGAATCAAATGTGATGTATATAAAATACATATTTACATATAAAAGTGAAAATTCGCCTGTACTAAGAACTGCAAGCCCTAGACTTCATGTTCCTTCCCAGCAGCAGTGGGTAGCTTCTGCCTTCTGTGGTTGATCAGAGATCAAGTTCAAGACTTTTGCCTTGCTCCCCAGGGACCTCCCAGAAGATCTTCAGCCTCATCTCCTGCCCCTCCCCTCCTGAACAGTCACCCCGATTTGGGCAGCCACAGGGCCTAGAACTGCTTTCCTCTCCTGCTGTGAAGTCCTCTCTATTGTCAGGTTGGCTCATGGGTTGCCTCTAGCAGAAAGCCTGCCCCTTAAAGCTGGGTAGTTAGTTACCAGCTGGCTTTTGGCCATGGCAGTCTCTTCCCGCTGTAGCATGATGCTCATCATGGGTTCTTGGGAATTGATTTTACACATGTTTCCTTCTGTCCCTAATGAGAGACTGAGCACCCCTTGCAAGTACAGATGGTATCTTGAAATGCCCAGGCCCTGCCCTTGCACTGAAGGCCATTCACTGCTAGCTAACTGGTCTGTCTGTCCATCTTGCTCCCTTGCCCCACAGAGGAATGTAAGCTGGGAGCCTGGGGCAGCTGGAGCCCCTGCACACATGACAGGAAGACCTGTGGTGCCACCTGGGGCCTGGAGACCCGCGTACGTGAGGCTGGGCTGGCCGGGCAGGAGGAGGAGGCCACCTGCCAGGTGCAGTCTGAGTCCAGGAAATGTCCCATCCAGAGGCCCTGTCCAGGAGGTGAGCAAAGGTGGCATGTGGGGCTGCAGGGGGCAGGGCCCCCAGAGGGCTCTTAGTGTCCTAGGGATGCTGCCCCCAGGAACAGTCTTGAGTCCCCCCCTATACTGCACCTTCACAAGGGGGAGCTCGCCTTGCCTATGGGGCAATCCCAAGCACCTGAGGAAGACAGACAACTCTTCCAGACTGACCTCCCCTTCTCATATCAGAACTCTGGAACGTGCTCCCTACCAAGCTGAAACAGATTCCATGGGAAACGTAATGCCTGGGCACATGTCCTTTAGAACAGTTCATCACAGGGCCCTGTCATAGAAGAGAGAAAGAGAAGAAAGTTCACAATGGAATGCTCTGCCACCACACACTAGTGAGAGGGGTCATGGGGACAGGTGCAGCCTGGGTCAGCACTTTGCATGCACATCTGGCCTCCTTGCTACATGGTGCTGCTTCCTTAATGGTGACCAAACATGAGTGAAGTCCATCTGCCCTCTTGATTGGGGCCACACTGCGGGCCTAGAATGGTCAGTGCGTGGAAGTGTTTGAATCACTCACCATCACCACAGGGCAGAGCTCGGCTTTCAGCTGCATGAGGCTGGGCCAGGACATAACAGAATGTGATGCACCAGGGACAGCTAGTGTTTGTGGGGGCTGTCACATGCAATGCTCCCAGTTCCTGTCAACTGAATGCCATGGGGCCTGTTTAATGCGGCAGCCAAGACCACTGCACAGATTTCCAAAATACCCCTGGGAAGCACTCAAAAACCACTGATTCAAAGGGGAGATAGGCCGCCAAGTCTAGTGGGTAAGATGTGGCAGGGAATAGTAGTAAGAATTGGCGGTGTTAACTATGCACATACTATGTGCTGGGCCATTAGACTGTTTTCTGCACAATGATGCTATGAAGTAGGTATTATTACACCCATTTAAAGGTGAGGAGATGGAGGCCCAAGAAGCTTGACTCACTTGCCCAAAGGTTGCACAGCCAGGGAGGGGTGAACCTGTCATGTGCAAAGAGTCTAAAGTCATGGTTAAGGCTGAGAGACCTGGAACCAGGTCACCTGGACACATAACTAGGACATGTGGAGGAGAGTTTGAGCTGATGGACACCCCCATTTCAGAAGGACATGTGGTCTCTGAGTTGGGAGAGCAGAGAGCAGCGATGGAGCCTCTGAAAGTCATGTCTGGCAGTTGGGTCAGAGAGGACAGTTGAGATGGGTGAAAGACCAAGGGAATCCAGACCCAGGGAGACAGACAGACAGACAGTCCTCTGCAGCCCTTCCTATAGTAGCCACCCTCCTCGTGGGTCTGAAAGCTGGCAGGGCTTCTTGGTTATTGAAGGATCCAGAGAGGAAGGCTCTCCCCTAGATGACAGCAGTGGCGGTGATAAGAACGCTCATAAAGGCAGCAGCTGCAGGTGCTCATCATGTGCTGATCAGGTGCCAGTGCTGTGCTGAGCACTTGCACATCCAGCTCCTTGAGTCCTCACAGCCTGGTATCACCTGGGCTCAGCTCAGATGCCTCCTCCACAGATGCAGAGAGATTGTCTGAGTTTCCTGCCCCCAGAGTCACTGTGCGTCAGTCACATCACAGCACTCACACTGTCCTTACTGATCCTGCTGTGTTTGCTGTGCAGTGTCTGCTTTCCTTATGAGACAGGATGTGGTCTCCAAGGAGAGCAAGGTCTTTGCTTGTACCCGGCTGTCTCTCTAGTGCTTGGCAAGTATAGTAGCAGGTGTCCCACTGACTTTCCCTGAGCAAGTAAATGGGTGGTGATGAGAGGTTAGGTGGATAGGTGGGTGTACAGGTGGGTGGATAGGTCAGTGGATGGGTGGGTGGTTAGGTGAATGGGTAGGTGGATGGACGGGAAATGATGGATGGCTGGTTAGATGGGCAGCTACTCGGCTGGCATAGGGGAGGGATAAGGACACAAAACCACTCACCACCCACACCGCAGCCTCAAACTGACTGTACAGGCTTAGGCAACACCACACCTGTCCCCAGATTCTGCCCTCTCCTGAGGCCTGCACAGTTAGCTCCAGAACTGAGAGTGGGAGCCTGACTTTAGTGTCTCCCTGGGACATGGAGTAGGTTTAGGGAGCCCCAAAGGTGGAAACTTGGTCTAAGGGGGAACCCTGAGTCTGCCCTGCATAGAAAGGAGTTGGACTAGAGCATAGCTTTGACTCCTAAGCACACATGAAATAATGCTCAGCTGCCAGACTCAGGTCCTCACCATTGCTCTGAGCCCTTGAAGATTGGCTCCATCAGCCCATTTTGCTATGCTCCAGTGAGCACACAGCCACCTGCAGACTGCCGGGGGCCAATCACTGTATAAAATGGCCTCAATATGGAGATGCTGTGTAGCCAGAAATGTCGGGCTTGTCTTGCTCCCAACCATACCTGGGTCTTCTCACCTGCCAATAATAACGATGACAACAGCTGGGAAAGCATATCAGGGACATGGTGTGGAGGGGGCCAGAACCTGCCCTGGGGAGGCCCAGAGGGGCCAGCGATGGGGCCACCAAGGCCAAGGAGGAAGCATGGCAGGCCAGGAGAGCTGCAACCAGAGGAGATGGAGCAGAGACCACCAGTGTCTTTTGCTCTTAAAGAGAGCCTACTGGGACTCTATCTACACCTCCCGCTCATCTGGCCACTGGTCACTGTTTGTCCCCTCAGTCCAAGTGTGTCACCTAGAAGGAAAAGCACTGGACAGAGTCCAGAAACTCCAGTCAGAATGTGTCACAGCAAGCTGGTCACCTGATCTGAGAAGAGGGACTGGTGAGAAATCTGTGTTAGAAATTTACCCCCCTTCACAGGGTGTCTAGATGCAGAGCTGGGTCTTGCTATTTACAGTCAGCCCTCATCTCCATAGGGGAACAGTGAGGTCCAAGCTCCCTGTATGCCTACCAAATACAGGCAGGGACTGCAGAGAGTTTCAAATCCCCTTTGGGTGTCTGGGCTGTGGTGGGTGGCAGCTAAATGCTAAATACTGTTGCCGTCCTGTTTCTGGAGTCAGAGCCTGCCATGGTGGGAGGGGAGGGGTAACAGCAGGGACTCAGAACAGGGCCTTGTCAAGGGTGGTGAATGCACATGGAGGGTCACCCTAAATTCTGACTGGGGGCTCCTGAAAACCTCAGGCCAGGCAGGTCCAACAGGATACTGGCTTGGCCTCCCTGCCCCTAAAGAACCACAGAGAAAGGCTCAGTGTGGGGCACCCACTCCTGCAGCCCATAGTCTAACCCAGGATGATGATGAGGCCAGAGTCTTGTGTTCTTCTGGGCCTCCCTGTGGGTATATGGGTGGGCACCCTTGTCCTTCAGGACACACATGGACCTTCAGCCCCAGAACCAAGCCCCTATACTCCCTTTGCAGAGAGAAATGCCCGCCAGAAGAAGGGCCGGAAGGACCGGCGCCAGCGCAAGGACAGAAAGCTGGAGCGCAGGCTGGATGGGAGGTCTCGCCAGCCTGGCCTACAGTGACCACACTCCATTCTGCTCCCTGCCCCTTGCTCACTGCAATTGGAGCCTCCCCTTCCTCAACTCCTTCCCTTCTTTTTTCTATCTGTGCTTCTCTCTTTTCCCCTCACCTTTTCTTCTGTATCAACCAACATTTTTATTTTTCCTCCTATATTTTATTTCCTCCATTTCCATTTTCCTCTCCTTTCTCCTTCTTTCCCACTTTCCTTCTACACGTTCTCTTCTTTCTCTTACTCTTTACCTTTCTTCCTTTCTTTATCTTTCCTCCTTTTCTTTACTTTGTCTCTCTCTCTCTCACCACCTCCCCCCAATCTGTCTCACATACATGCACACACATACACTTTAGAGAGATCTTGAGCCTGTGCCTCCTTTGTGGCTCTCTCTGTTCCCCAAAGAAAACAAACATCTTTTTATGCATCTTCCCTGATCTATTCTGACTCTACCCTGGCAGATAAGCTTTTACAAGGGGTGGCACAGGAATGGCAGGGTGAGTTCCCAGATCCCTGAACTGGCCTCTGGGATCTTTGTCCTGTGTCCAGTCCCCATGGACCATTTCTTCAGCCACCTGCTTCCCAAGAGCCACCTTGGAAGAGATTTGGGGACCTCTTAAGGCTCAGCCTGGACACCTTGCCCCTGTGGGCAATGGGCCAGCTATGGTAGGGCCCCAGGGCTGCCAGGTCCATCCTCCCCAGCCTCCCGTACCTGCTTCCTTCTCACAATTCCATACCTTATCTTCCCAGGTTGACCTAGGGAAGCTTCCAAACTTGGGGAACTGAATGCTATTTCAAGTGGGGCTGTTATCCCCAGGGAGTAAATGGCTCATCCCAGAAGAGGCTACTGAAGCTGCCAAGCCACTCTATTCTCCACCCTGACACATCCTGCCCATTTTACTTATGGTGAAACTGAGGCCTGGGAAGGAAGGGACTCATCAAGTTCACACAGGGCTTTTGCCTGGTGGCTGCCCTACTCAGAACATCCAAACTAAGAGGAAATGGTGAGGATCTCTCAGGGAGGGGATGAAGGACATGCAGAGGGGTCAGGAGTGAGAGGGGGCATCTACTCACCAGCACCTGCTATTCCACCTCAAAAGGGCCCTTCTTTCTCTGCTCTGGGATCCCAGAAAGGTGCATTTGGCTCCTGTTCCTTTAGAAGAAGGAATGGACAGAAGAGAGTCTGAACCTTGAGGGCCCAAGGGCCTGAGGGCTGGGTGGGGACAGAGGTGGCTCAGGACTTGGGTGAAGCCCAAGGTGATGGAAAATCACCTCCCCTACCCCAAGGCAGTGACCCTTGAACTCAGCCTGCATCTTTCAAGTTGGAGTTACCAGCACTGGTCCAGTAAGGCCCATCTTTTCCCTTTCCCACCAGTTCCCAAGAATAGCTCAAGCCTTCCTTGCTTGGCCAGGCCTCCAGCTTCTCTTTGGCAAAACTGTATGTCTCTGAAATGTTCTAAGGGTTTTTCAAGCCCCAAACTCTTTTTTTTTAAAATAAAGGGAAAAGAAACAAGAAACTCGCAAATGCTTCTTGGGCATTAAGAGGGTGTTACAAAACCATGATGCTAATAAGTTTGGAGTAGCAGAATCTAAACCATGTGGGGCAGTTTCCACTGGAATGCTCTGCAAAAAGCAGTTAAGGTATGTGCAGAATGAGCTGGGTTTTAACTAGGGGGCTGAAAAAGATGGCCCTCCCCTCTCAGGCCCCTCAAGAATGGGACTTACCCAGAAGCAGAAGAGGGCAGCGTTGTACCTCTCAGCACCCTCCGCCTCTTGAATCACAGAAATGGCATGGGAGGCCTATCTATGATTGTTGTGGCTTGTCTGAGGGGCCAGGTCCCATAGGAGGTACACAATACCATGTAGCTATCAGAAGGAACACCTGGGTGGCTGGCAGGTGGTCTCAGCCTTGGCACAGGTGTGAGTCCCAGCCTCCCACCTGCCAGCAGTGGAGTCCAGACCAGTGATTTCCCCTTTCTGGGCCTCAGTCTCCTCATTGGATGGATGAAGAAGAAGCAAGGCTGGATTAAATGCATTGCCCACATCTGGGACACCCAACAGTAAACTCTGGGAGATTTAAAAAAATAATTCATATTCAGGCCTCCACCCAGACCTACTAACTGTGAGCATATTGAGAAACAGGCAGTGAAAGCAAACTTGATCATTCCAGGACAAGCTGGGCTGGACTCAGGGTGTCTCCTGGATAACTTCAGCCCTGGAGTGCCAGGGTCCAGATTTGAGGGCTGCAACTGAAATAGTAAATTCAGTACAAACTAAGCTCCTTTGTCTCATAAATTTGAAGAATGAAATCAGGGACAAAAAGAGGAATTTAGGAGAGTATTGGAAATAAGAAGGGAAATTGCTCCTGTCTACAGGTGGGGGTTGTGGAAATGGAATTTCAAATTGTCTTCTTTGTCCTGTTCTTATATGAATAAACAAAGCACAGGCAAAGTCAGTTACTCAGCAACTAGAGACTTTTTAGAAAAATGGCTATTTTGCATTTTGTGTTCCTAGAAGTCCAGTTTGGATGTAGGGAGGGTCTGTCCAGCTGACTTAGCCCACTCTGCATAGGAAGCTTCTTCCTTATAGGAAGGTCCTTCTTTGTTCTCTCATCCTGTTATCCTTCTTCTTGTGTTTGCCTTTGCATTACTAAGGTGAAAATGAATTGAAATAGCTCTGTACTTAGTGTGTTCTATTTTCTTTTTTTGGGAGGGGGGTACCAGGGATCGAACACAGGACCTTGCGCTTCTGAGGCAGGCTCCTGAACCACTGAACTAAATCCCTGGCCCTGTGCTATTTTCTTTTATCCAGCCAACTCTGTCTTAGGCTGCCCTCCTTTCCCACCCAGCATCTCCTGCCTTCCTGGAAAGGAGCTCTCAGATGTCAGGTGGTCATTTCCTAATCGCCTCCTCTGGGCCAAGTTTGGAGAATTCAGGAGAAGCTCTCAAATAGCTGGGGTCACACAACTAAAGAGGGAAGTTAGGGAGAGGCCCAGAGGCTCCTGGGTCCCTCTGGCCACTCTGGCCACTTTTAAAATGGAAGAGAACAGCAGCTGGGACCCTGGATCTCAAGGATCTCTGTCAGCTACCTCTTGCTCCTCCCTGCATTCCTTTCCAATTGGGCCCTTGCAGATTCCCAACCCTGTGTCACTGCGTTCTTGCCGGTATTTCCCACACTCTGCCACCAGAGGGAGCTAATCGACCAGGAACTCGGCAGTGGCCAGGCCAGCAGGGGGCCTGTCTCCGTCCTTCTGGAGGGCCTTGAGAGGCAGTTTCCTGTTTCTGACTGAACAGAGACTGTTGCCACGATAACTTCAGCAAAAAAAAAAAAAAGAATGTTGGGTGCCCAGGCCCTTTCTGCACAGAGTGGGAACCTGACTCAGAGGACTGAAGCACAGTGTCCCAGGAAAGTCGCCATGACGTCTTGTCAAGACATCCTGCCCCAGGTGATGAGGGTCACAATTCTGTATTTCAACTTACAGAAAGCATCATTCATCCTATGTGATCCTTCCGACTTGGAAATGTGCATTCTGTTAACAATAAAAAAGAATAGTGATGACGATGATGATGATGTCTTATATGTACTGGGCACCTACTGTGTGTCAGGCATTGCCAGGAGCCTAATGTACAGTGTCTCACTCCCTTTGACTTGGGTTCTCTATCTAGATCTTAGCAACCTATGCTGACTTCCTCCTATGAGTCCTCACGTTCACACCCTCTAGCTCCTGCCACCTAACAGTAAACTTGTGAACTACCTCACAGAAGAGGAAACTGAGTCTCAGGTTCAAGTTTTTAAAATCCACTAGTCTCTTGTATTCATCTCTTTAGTAAATATGCATAACTTGCCTACTGTGTTCCTGGGACTGCAGAGATGACAATGATAAAAATACCATCCTCATTCCTTGAGTGCTTACTGTAGAAAAGTCACTTCTGATGGTGTGAAAGGCCTTCCACAGAGGACAGGATCCAGGAGGAAGACAGCAAATCCACCCACAGCCCATGGGGCAGAAAGCTCCTCCTGCAGGACTAGAAGGCAGCTCAGAACCGAAGGACCAGGGCTCATGAACAGGAAGGGTGGAGAGAGTCCTTCATAGAGGAACAGTGTGTGCAAAGGCCTGGAGGGGAAGCTCCATGTCGGGGTACACGGCCCAGAATTTCCAAGGCTCCTAAGCTGCCAGATCCTGGACCACAGACTCAGCCCTACTCTCCCTACTGTCTCCCCTACTCCCCCTACAACCTCAAGCCTCACTCATAGCCCTGTCTGCCCATCCAACCTGCCACAAACAAGATGGGGAGACACGCACCTAACCTTTCAAGGAAGAAGGCATCTGGGCAGGGAACTCCTGTCTTGCTGCTTCTCAGCTCCAGCTATGAGTCTCCCAGTGCTGGCCCAGCGGAGTCACATCTCCCCTCCTTCTCTGGTCAGGATCCTGATCCTCAGAACACAGGAGCATGATTAAATAGGGAGGGCCAGCTAGATCAGGTCAGTCCTGACATCTCTCTCCTAGGGTGGAGGCCCCCAAGTGAGGTGTGTCAGAGCAGACAGAAGGGCCACAAGTCCCATCTTCACACCTAGCCAGCTATAAACTGTAGGGAAATCCTATACTTCTCTCAGTGTCACAGTTTTCAGTCTGTAAAAGGAAGAGTAAGAGTACCCTCAGGGTTTAGATATATAAATGCTCAATAGAAGTTTCTTTAATTACACATAGTTCATTTATTCATTCCACACACATTTTCTAAGCACAAAGACTGAGAAAGAAACTGTGTCAAGCATTTAACACCAAAAACTTAAATTCCTCCTTCTGTTGACCCCAGATGTAAGACAACATTTTCTTTTATCCTAGGACCTGAGTTTCCCCAGCTGATGTTTTTCTTTTTGACAGACAAGTATCTGCTAGATTTCTTGTCTGCATTTTCACTGTGTGGCTTCCCCCTCATGCGGCACAGCATGCAGGAACCTGGAGCCTGGGCCCACTGTCCTCTTCTGGGTCAGCCCATTTCAATCTGAGGTCCACACTGCCTGTGGGAGGTGTGGGGGCACTGGCCAGAAGTGGACTGTGCAGCACACCTGTACTGGGAAAGGAGAGACAGCTGCTAAAGGCAGCACAGGCCTAGTGGTGGCTGGCCAGGTGATAGTGGGGACATTTTCTGACCATGGAGCCTTGGTTGGCCTCATCCAGAGCACCTGTGGCCAGGATGGCCACCAAGAGGGCAAGCATGCCCAGTTGCCAGTACATCCTGTCCCCTCCTACAGCCCACACAGCATAGCTTGGCTTCCTCAGGACAGAACCTGGGGATCCCAGCTGCATGCTGCTGGCAGGTCCCCACCTCAGTCTCCAGCCACCTCCCCGTCTTCACCCTTTCCCCGCCTCCCTCCCTACAGCCCCCACTGAATGAAAAATATCTTAAAGTATCCGATATTCAAAAAAGATTTAATAGTTAAGTTTGAAGCCATGCAACTGATCTGGGTGTTCAACAACCAAGTTTGATATAGTACTCTGCAGCCATAGGTGTAACTGACAACCATAAGAAGATTTTTATTCCTAGTCCTACTAGCCCTTCTGAAAATGTGTCCTTCTGCCCCTCTTAGTATATTCCCATTCTGCTATTTGAGCGTACTTTCAAGTACCTCTTAGATAAATTGTACTGACTTCTGCTATTTTTGAAGCCATTATTCATCAATATTCTGTTAATTTCTGGCTCTGGCTTGTTTAACAAGTTCAGAAAATAAAGCATAAGCATCAGTGACTTGCTAATGCCTTTGTCCTCTTGTCCAGACTATAAAAAGATTATGGTTCATCAAACAACAAAACCCAGCTTCCTTTGTCTCCTTTTAGATCAGTCAGGGTGAGGCCTTTGATCCCTGGCTAGGAAAATCAGTGCCCCTCCTTGGTCTGAAACAAGTCACAAGAAGACAGGTCATCAGGCCTGCTGCACCTGCTTAAGAATAAGGCCTCAAATACTGGGTGCAGGGTGAGGCAGAATAGAAGAAATAAGACAGGTAGAAAGGAGACAAGGAAATCATAACTAAATTGTACTTTTAATAAGACTGCAAATTTTCACCTTCAGTCGAAGTTGCCCGAGGTGATTCATTTCAGCTTTCCCTTGATTAAATTTCCTTACAGATCCATCATATTCCCTTATTGGTGGGTGATTGATCCCAGCTTTTTGTGATTATAGTGGAAGGTCCTATAAAGGTTTGCATATAGGTTTTTTCTGAGTGCAATTTTTATTTCTTTTGGAAAGATATCTAAGAGTAGGAGAGCTGGATCATATGATAAATGTATGTTTAACATCATAAAAAATTGCTGGTCTTCTCAAATTCCTCACCAACACTGGGTTTATAGGTTATTTTAAACTTTAACATTTTAGTGTCTGAGTAATGGTCTCCCATGGTGGTTTTAATTTGCATTTCTCTGAAAACTAAGTGTAGAGAGTCTTTTCATGTGCTTACTCACTGTCGATATCTATTTTGGGTCTATTGTCTTTTTATATTCTTTGCCTTATTTTTAAAAATTGAATTATTTTTTCCTATTACTGACCTTTGAAAGCTCTATGTATACACTCTGGATACAAATCTTTCATTAGATATGGATTTTGCAAATATCTTCCCCCAATATGTAGCTTGTCTTTTCATTTGCCTAACAGTACCATTAGAAGAACAGAACTTCTAAACTTTGAGCCAAATTTTTAAATTTTTTTAAAAAATGGTTCATGCTTTTTGTCTTATTTATGAGTACACATTTGTAATACAGTGTTTAATTTCCCTATGGGAGGTGCTCCATGTACATAATACATCCTTTTTTCATTCTCTTTTTCTTCCTCGCCCCATCTCTTGATCTCTTTCCTCTTTGAGAAAAACCTATCTTTCTACTTACTATTATCTATCATAATTTGCTCTTTATTTACACTTTGGGTTTCTCATGAGAGAAACCATGAGATATTAAAAGTCATGTGTCTGATTTACAGTTCTCTTAACATTATGGTCTCAAGGTATATCCATTTGCCTATAAGAAACTCAAGTTTATCTTTCTTTCTTTATAGTTTTATTGTTGAATTGTTCTTTCTTTATTTATTTTTTTTGGTATCAGGGATTGAATTCAGGACCTTGCGCTTGCAAGGCAGGCACCAGAACCACTGCACCAAATCCCTGGCCCCTCAGTTTCTTTTTTATTTTCATTAAGTTTATTGGTATATTTTAGGTATAAAATACAGTTAAATTCATCTTGGGATCTCATCAACTGGAGACTGGATAAAGAAGATGTGGTTTTTTAATAAAATGGAGTACTACTCAGCCATAAAGAATGAGAAACTAGAGACATTTATACCTAAATGGATGCACACTGAGGCTATACTCCTAAGTGAAATAAATAGGACACACATGTGTAAATACCAAATAGTTTCTCTGGTGTGAAAAACTAAAAGTGTATATAAGGTTCACATGGTATAATTGATAATGTGAAATAGGAAGAAAAGGTCTAAAGGAGTTAGGGAAGTGGGAAGGGTAGGGGAAAGGAAAGAAAGGAAAAGAAAAAATATAAGAAATGGAAAAAATGGAAACAAAGTCTCTGTAAATAGGGAAGGGTGGAGGGGGTGAAGGGAGGGCAGGTAAATAGGAAAAAAATAAGAATCAAGTTTATCTTTCTTTATGGCAGAATAGTACTCCATGGTGTGTACATATCACCTTTTAATCCTTTCATCTGTTGATGGACATATAGGACATTTCCAAGATGTAGTTATGAATTATGCTGCTATAAACATGGGTATGCATATATCACTATCATGTGATGCCTTTAACTTACTTGGGAAGATACCCAGAAGAAGAATAGCTGGGTCAAATGGAATTTATCATTTTAGTTTGTTGAAGAATCTTCATACTAATTTCCATGGTGGTTGTACTAGTTTATATTCCCATCAAAATGTAGAAGGGTTCCTCTTTCTCTGCAGTTCTCAAACATTTATTCTTTGATTTCTTCATGCTGGCTATTCTTTCTGTGGTAAGATGGGGCCTCAGTGTTGTTATAATTTGCATTTCACTAATGGCTAGTGATGTTGAGCATTCTTCATGTATTTATTGGCCATTTATATTTTTTCTTCTATGTTGTTTCTATTCATTTAACTTGTCTACTTTTTAAACTAGGCATTTTATCTTGGGATCTAATTTGTTTGAATTCTTTACATATTCTAGACATGAGTCCTCTGTGGAATGCTTGTCAAAATTTTTTTCTCATTCTGCAGTTTGTGTTTTCTTTCTGTTGGCTGCTTCTTTTGATGTCCAAATGCTTTTGAATTTGATATGATTGCATTTGTTGATTCTCAGAATTATTTCCTGTGGAGCTATGGTTCTGTTCAGAAAGTTCTTGCCTATGCTTATGACTTCAAGAGTTTTGCCTATTTTGTCTTCCACCAGTTAAGTGTTTTTGTTCTAACATTTAGTTTTTTGAACCATTTTGATTTTAGTTTTGTACTGAACTAAAATCAAAATGGTTAGAGGTGTGGGTCTAGATTCAATCTTGTGCATGTGAACAGCCATTTTTCCCTACACCA